TGGCCAGGCGCGCCGCTGGGCGTTGTGGGGATTGTAGTCCTGCGCCGCGCGGAGGAAGCGTGGTCCCAGCGCCGGAGGCGCCCGGGAGACCCTTCCCGAGAGGTGCTTGAGGAGCGTAGGGTCTGCTTATCGGACATATACGACATCATACGTGTTCCTTTTCCGGGTTAAGTAAAGGTGGCCTGTCCACCTGGGTAAAGGCTAACGTCTTTTGGCGGGAATTTATATGACACGTCATGACTCCAAGCCCATATCGTCCCTATATACTGTCATACCCTACCTGAGAGGTAGGACGAGAAGAAACGGCCTCAAGCTGCGCCAGGGGAAGTTTAGGTTGGATATTAGGAAAAACTTCTTCACCGAAAGGGTGGTCAGGCATTGGAACAGGCTGCCCAGGGAAGTGGTTGAGTCTCCATCCCTGGAGGTATTTAAAAGACGAGTAAACGTGGTGCGCGAGGGCTGGTTTAGTGGTGGACTTGGCAGTGCTAGGTTAACGGTTGGACTCGATGATCTTAAGGGTCTTTTCCAACTTTGACGATTCTATGATTCTATGATTCTATTGTGTCGCCCGTTCGCCTAACTTTTCTCGCTGTAGGCACTCTGCAGTTGGGGTCCAACTCCCGCCTTAGACAGAAAGATAGAAGAAATCAGTTTATTAATACAATTACAATTCATTAATTCATTGTGATCTTACAACAGTCTGTGCCTGACTTAGAAACATATGCAGAATATCTACAGATGAAAATAACACCTGATTCGATAAACGATGTACAACCTTTTCCTGTCGGGAACCGGAAAGTCCTAGATCTTTCAATAACTCATAATTGCCTTGATACCATTTTCCACATGCTCCTAACAGAAATCCCATAAATTTAATGATGTTAGCATTCACCAGTTATCAAATTTGCTCTTTTAGAGGATGATACTTCTTGACCTTCTCTGCCTCTGCATCCACCAAAGATGTTAATTTGCTTTCGTATCTGACCATGATATCTACCACCAGAGCCTGCTTTCCTTTAACGAAAATCAGGTCCAACTTATACAATTAATTCTGTTTATCTTTCAGCAGCAGCTCCTGGAATACTACCCAGTCCTTCTTTTTCACCTCATTCACCAATAATTCACATAGATGGTTATGTCTTTTAACACTTGCATCTTGTACCGCTGGGCAGTACCCGATAATATGTGAGCAAGTCTCATTTTCTGTGCGACAATGTTGGCACGATTTAACTTGGGCTTCCTGCCTGCCCCTTGCTAAGAATTATCTCGTGGGTTAGACATTTGGTCTCAGCTGTAATGCTGTGATGAGCTTCCTGTGAGAAATGCCCCTATAAAATTCTAACCA